ACAACAATATGTAATGTTACAAATAACTATCCTGCATATCAACCAAACCAGATTAAATTATGTAATGGTGTGTGCTATGATTCCATGATTCAAAAATGTGTCGGTGGATACGTAGTAAATTGTATTCTTGATCCGTCTACTCAACAATGTATTAATCAAAGCACTACTACTACTAGTACTACCGCACCGTCTTCAACTACAACATTCAGTAATTCATCAGGTAGTTGTCCAATTACAGATTGTACAGCAGATGCAGATTGCTGTGTTTCAGGCAAGGAATATCAGTGCTTCAAACATAATAACGAAGTATCTGGTTATTGCTTGAATCCAACTGGACAATCGATTAGTACTCAAGGATGTTCTACACAGGGATCGTGTACGAATGACACTGACTGTTGTAAATGTAAATGTGTTACAGTAACAAAGACAAATGGAAACGTAGTTACCACCAAAAGACAATGTGTATCCCCATAAGATCTATCGTTCGATGTCTACAAAAACATACATTAGTATTAACAGAACACTTTCTTTATTCATCATTATAATCTAGATTTATTTGCGTTATTCTTATTATTTTCTTTATATATCCAAGCAATTTCTCTTTGTTTTTTTCGTTGAAGTTTTTTTTTCATTTTAATAAACACAAAGTACTGAAACATAATCTCTTTGCCAATAATATATGTTCAAGTGAATCATTGATAATTAATCAGTGAATGACATTACTTTGCAATAGAGTGCGAGTGTTTGTGACGACGAGTGATAGATTATATACCGAAACTCAAATCAACACCAGCACCCACCCCTGGTCAGTAAAAAATTCAAACTGATCAGTGAACATGCGTATTCTATCAGCAGAAGAAATAAGTTTTGTTGATATAAAAAAAATATTAATTTAGTGCAAGAAAAATAAACTTGAATTAAACTAAAAAATTTAGAAGAGCATTAAGTAGAAATTTAAAGGGTATGAGTGTGAACATGAGGCAATCAAGAATCAATCTCCACATCTACCCGTCCTTCCATAAAAATAAGTTTTTTTTCCATATTGGATATTAGATGGTCTTTTAAGTTGGAGAAAAAAATATTACAAAGTATTGCAGACCATGTTAATCCAGCAGGACAATTGAAAATCGGATTTATATACGAACATAGATTTCTTGCATTGAATAACAGTAAGTAATATTTTATGTTTTTGTATTTAACCTTATCGGTATAGTGCATCGTATGGTCAATGTTGTGTTCATTAAATATATACTACAGAACGGTTATAACTATGAAAAAATACAAAATCTGTTGAAAAAAACAGCTATTGACATAAAAATCTACATATGAACAGAAAAGTAATGGAAAATTTATTAATTAGAGAAAGATGTATAAAGTTCAGCGTTTTGACTCTGTATCATTATGTGTAAGAGTTTCAATCTGCCGTAATAGATCATTGATTAGACGAAGTTCCATAATTGTTGCTTCGACTTGTTTATTTCGTTCGTCGATCAACTGTTGTGTACGATTTAACTCAGCTTCTTTTTCAGCCATACTTTCTGATAATTCACTTTCATCTTCGACATCATTATCAATATCTTCATTATCCGATGATGAAGATACGGGTGAAGGAGAGCGTTCTGGATCCTATAAGGAGAAAGATAACAATATTTAATTGAGATTGATATATTATTCACGAAGAGATCGTACCTGATCAAAGCGCATAATGATGTATTACAAGAAAAAATAATCGAAATGATATGGCGGAATTATCTCTTTTCTCTGGAAAACATACGACGCATATATGAATCATTTGTTCTCGAAGAACTGAGTGCAAAAATCATGAGAGTAGAAAATATACAGAAAGGAAGAAAGAAAGATATCTTCATAATATTTATCTTGTACATAATTTTCTTTTGATACTATATAAACAGAACAGACAACTGTCTGCTGACGATGAATCATCGGAATGAGAAAGAATATTCATCGTATAGAAATCTAACATTACCATGTATAAGTCTTATACAATAATTTAACTGAATTCATTTTTAACACTATGTACTGTTGAGATACTTTTATTTTTTAATATATCGTAATTATTTCTCTTTATTTTTAAGTATAATAATAGCATATTTTTATAAAACGAATGGATTCTATATAACATCCTTGATAAAAATAATTGCTTGTGTATGTTTCATATCACGAACAAAAAACAACGACCTAGTCATGAATATATAACAAGAAATTCTATCGGAAAATGGAGAATGGAAGTATAACCTTGTTTAATTTGGTTGTGATGATAGATGACAATAGTCTGCAAAGAAAAAAAAAATTATACTGTTCTATTTTAACGAGCAACAAAAGACCTAAAATTAGTACATTCTAGCTAATGTATTCGTTTTCAAGAGCGAACACCTATATTACATAACAATGTCAGAAAATATTCTGATGTTGCATTATTTCTCTTATTCAGTACAAACTGACGCTATCAATGATCAATATATTTGAAAATATTTTAGTTTTTTATGAACAAAAGTATATTAGTAATACTAAAAATCAGGTATAGCACTAGTGTTTATTTTCACCAACCCAAACTTGTAATACTGGACTGATAACATTACTATTTTATTTTTTCCCAGTTTCTTCTAACCATAAATTCGTATTGGATGGAAAAAATAAACAATGGACTGTAATACTTGATAGATGTAATAAAATTGTGGTGCATCTTTCATTACTTTTAAAGTTTCTAAATTTGGTGCTCGTTTTAATAATATTTCGAGACGAGAGAATTTTATCCAACTTGTTTTTAACACAGATAGGAATTATTAGCGTTTGATAAGTCAAAGTAGATATCGTAGATTATATAAATATGATAACATTGATTGAATTTTTATCATTTCGTATTGTTTTGCATTTATAAAGATCAACGATCGAAAATGAGGAAATTCATCAGTAGAAAATTGTAATGATGAAATTTGTTGTTTAATATATGGATTTTAATGAAACTGATCAAATATTGATTTTTTAATATGTTGCCAATTAAGATGTAAGAAAGTATTTTGAGTAAGTTTATCAAAACAATAACTCAAATATCATTACGGGTGACATTAAATAAAAAATGAAAAAGCATTGTATACTTTCAAACACATTTATTTTGTTCGTTTCTCATACACACGTGTACATGTCATGATTCAATGAATCGTACGACGAGAGATAAAGTACATGTGAAGAGAAATTTTTTTCTATTCTTCCAAACAACAATTTACACGTATATTTCCAGGAGAAAAATAAAATGTTTTTATGGAAGAGGTAAGAAGACCGCTCCGTAACAAGAATTCACAGATGTACAAGAAAAACATATTTACTCATTTAATAATAGCTACATTCAAAATAGCAGGGCTGTGAGTATTTTATTTCACTGACATGTGTATCCTTAATGATATCTTCAATATCCTGAATTCGTCAATCTCAAAACAACATTTAAAAATCTAGATGATTTCATTAGTAGAATAACTCGAAAAATCAAATTAGTTGTACAAAAGAAACTTTTTCTAATATCTTTTTTTAGAAAATTATAGAACGTATGAGTTTTTTGTACTGATGCCAAAGATAATACTTTAGAGTGGTATTGAGAAACTTGACTAATATGGAAAAAAAACATATTATTTCTCAAAGGATGATTATATCGCGCTACTCATAGGGGAAAAAATGAACTTCTTAAGGATTCAAAACTTTGAATTAGTATAGCATTTATTCAATATTAATATTAGATCAGGATTTTCAATCGAATGACTTAGGAATGAAGAAGTTAAGTTTTAGTTGTGTATAAAAATAAGAAAAGGTATGACTACAAAATAATTTATTCAGATATTGTAAATAACTATAAATTACCATACAAATAATATTGATTAGATAGATTCCTTGAATGTTTGAATAACTTTTCATGAATACAAACGATCTTTGATTTGATTTGTAATTTTATGGTTCAAAATGTCATTTACATCATTCTATATTGTTCTCATTAAAACACGAGTACATTTGTATATACTCACATTCCGCTTTCTTTACATACTCTTAAGCAATGCTTAGGAAAGAAAGAGTAGATTTTTAAAGTTTATATTACTTTTTTTGGATAAATAGAATAAGATGAAAAATCACTCAAATCACAAAGCCAAATTAAGTTCTTACTGATTTACGACTTGGCTTGATCAAAAATATAAATTAAATCATACATATTTGTCTAATTCTGATGTAATGTTGTATCATATGATATAATCCAACTAATTATTGATTTTATTATTATAATTTAAACGTCTTCTGCTGTATAACTATAATACTAATCATACTATATCTAAATTGAGCAATAAAAATAGATTTTCCAAACGTTACTAACTCGTACCCTCAAAAGAAGCTTTCTTTTTTAATCTACATGACAAAATTTTACTTAGGACAATTATTTTCTAAATAGTGTGAATAATTAGATTATATAATGGTGGACATCTTTCTTGAACAAAAGTATTCCTATCGTTCTATGTTTATACTCACCTACAAATTATCAAAAAATTAAGATATTAATCTATTGATTCTTGTAAGTGAATGTTCATCTGATAATATATGCATATGAATTTCCTTATAATTCATAAATTCGACTATTTTTGTATCTATATACATAATATTTTGTTGAATTATTGTTTTTTATGCTAGATTTTTGTATAAATATAGTTGACGTTATTTTAATGCGTAGCTTCCAAAATTACGATCAAAGATCAAGTTAATTGGCAGATCGGCAGTGAGAGCGGAAAATATTTGAAGTTTCGGTTGCAATTCGTCAATAGCCTTCTAATGCTGTACCTGAATGTGCGAATTAATATTTTTTTTGTATCAGAAAAACAGATAGTTTGTTTTCTAACTATTAATCAAGTTTTTCCTTCACAAAGTTGTTGGAACAGGGTTAATATGCAAAAAAAAATGACGATCTTGAAACGCCATAATTCAAATGTTTTTGAATACTGTATAATGAACTACAGGAAAGAACTTGTTGATAGGCGTTCGTTTCATATTTTTCATTGCATGGATAATAAGTAGTATGTAATATTAATTTATATTTAATATATTGAAGGAAAGGAAATGGAGCGATACTTTATTTATCAAATTTCTCAAAACGATGTTTCCATATTAGATAGTATCAGATTCAGATAGGTAATTAGTTGTTTTTGTCGATTAAAAACAGTTTTCTCATTCACTCTGTATATATATATATATGTAAATATTTTCATAATTTCATAAATCAGTTATATTATACATCATTATATTGATATCGAAATGGAGTATCATTTTGAATTTGAGTGTTTACCTGCTTTTGATCTTTGCGATAATATTCAAACGGCATGTAGTGATGAATTTTCAACATGTGGATCATGTAGTTATACAATGCGCGATGAACCAATAACAGTTATACATCTCGATTCAAAACCTATGAGATATTGTCCAAAACCCCCTCCACCTTGTGGAAGACCCGGTCCATCTTGTTGTCCAAGACCTCCTCCACGTTGTACAAGACCCTCGCCACCATGTCCAAAACCTGTTGTATGTTGTCAAGACTCTCTTGTATGTTGTCAAGAACCTCTTGTATGTTGGTCAAAACCCATTTCATGTTGTCCAAGACCCGTTGTATGTTGCCAGAAGACTGTTACATGTCGTCCAAGACCTGCTGTATGCTGTCCACAGCCTGTTGTATGTTGTCCAGACTCTTGTACACGTTGTACAAAAACCGTTAGGTATGAAACAGATTTTATGAACTGTGGTATACTACCATGTGATTATTTGATGTAATGATATGTTTTTTTTTCCTCAACTAATATATTATAAACAAATAAATCTTAAAAAATTATCTATCTTGTTTGTATTGATTACGAATTCAAAAACAGGTAATAGCAAGAAAACGAAGATAATATCATCTGCTTAGTGAACAATGCTATAATGAAGAAGAGGAGAACAAGCAGCTAAACAAAAAAAATTGTTTTTGTATCAAAAAATTTCTTGCGCTTTAGTCTATGGAACAGAAAAAACAAAAAATTATTTTCATCGATAAATGGTGACAAAATAAGGCTGCGTTTTTTACCTTTCCTGCTTCAGAACAGTATAGTGATGGTACAGCCAAAAGACTTCATATTTTTACGGAAATTAGGGTCGACAACAAGGAGTATTTTATAAAAAAGCATCAAAATCTGTGTTCATTTGAAAGAAAATTCTTATAACAATTCAAACATATCATTTGTGAGATATGATGAAGTAAGTGATAAGATTTACCTGTTATAGTCATTACTAATACTATCATTAGATAAAACAGTATGCACTGCAGTATCACCTAAAGTTTCTATAACATCTCTCGATATATACCTGCCGTAAAAGAGAAGGAGCGTCTTACTGGCTTTCGCAATTGAACTAATATGTGCCTTTTTTTTTTCTTCAAAATATTATTTACTTTTATCGAGTTCTTATCTATAACTTGAAAATTTTTCACTATGCCAATCGATACGCACATAGACACATTGACATCTATTTTCAGCATTTTGAATACCCAATCAACAAGCAAAAAATACAAACAGAAAAATAAGTTTTCGTTTTTTTATGAATGGAAACAAGCAGAATAATCGTTTTAAAATAATTATTGATAATAATTTTCATTATCACATATTATCTTGTTTCTTATCAGACACGTATGAACAAAATATATTTTACAAAAATGTCTTACATCAGACTGCTACTAACAATCGAAAAAAAAACTCTGATGTTAATGCTTGCAAAACACATTCAAAATTCTAAGGTTAGGACTTTTTCAAAACATCAAGGATGTCATCACATATATTGTATTTTTTTTGAATTCTTAAATTCTAATTATATTATTACCAAGTAAAAAGACATATGACATGATATATATTAAAAATTATTCAGTCTGAACTAATAGTTTTCTTGATCTCACTGTCTATCTCTATATGTATGATAGTCTCACGCATTCTTCTATGAAGTACATTCTATTGTGTTAATGTTATTGGTTATTATGTATAAAAAAATATATATAATAAATCTATTTCTTTTTTGTTCTAATTTTTCAAAGAAATATTCCGAAGATTTCTTTATTCGATGTTTTTCAAGTATGTTGTATTTATTTGGTTATAAAAATGCTACAAAATAAATGAAAAAAGATATAGATTTGTGTAACGAAACAATCGGACAAGTATATCAAAAAGAAATGTTTGGAAAATATTATTAGAACTTTTTCCATTCTTAAGCAGTCGATGAAATTCACTGGAGTAAGATTTTTTATTGAAACTCAACAAATATCATTGGTTAAGAAAACTTCTTCAAGTATTATTATGTTCACTTCCATATCACATATCCTAAAAGTATACTCCTAAATATGACTACGATTTGCACAATATTCATTTGAACTTATTCATGTTAAACAACTTCGATGAACGATACATGTGTTCACCTTTACATAATCTTAAACGTAATTATTTAAGTATAATTAATGAGTATCTATATAATTTTTTGGACTTTTGACTTTGCGGCAAGAGCTGTCTTTGTAGAATATACTATTGAGATTATAACTATACTTCGAGGAAGTTTTTCAGTAATTGATAATGAATGTTACAGCGTTATATAATCTCCATTAGCCAATGGGCATACAAAAACATGTATATGTCTATATTGATCTATTCTTTCATTTTGCTCAGCTATTTGTTCTCCTTTTCTATATATATTTCTTTTCCATTATAGAATCCTTGAATACACGGAAGATATTATCTTCGTCTTCTTGTTACTACGACATGTTTTCGAATTCATAATGAAGAAAACCATACTTGATTTATCATGTAATTCTTCACTAATTAAATCATTGATATTACTTCAATATCATCTTATATTTATTTTATCAAAACTATTGCACTTTTCTTTGACAAAAAACTTATGTCTACGAATCAATACAAATAAGATAGATAACTTTTTCAGATTTATTTGTTTCTATTGTTTGAGTTCGTGAAAAAATGCTTGTTTGTTGTTATAGAAGAAAATTGCATGATTGTGCACCATATACTAACACTTATAGACTTTTACACAGCATACAACAGGTTTTGGGCAACATGGAACGGGTTTTGGACAGCATGATACAGGTGTTGGACAGCATTTAGGCGGCTTTGGACAAGGCGGCGGGCATTTAGGTGGTTTTGGACAAGGTGGTGGCGATGGTGGGCAGCGTTGAACAGGTATTGGACAGGGTGGCGGGGATGGTGATGGCGATGGTGGACAGCATTTAGGCGGTTTTGGACAAGGCGGCGGACATTTAGGTGGTTTTGGACAAGGTGGTGGACATTTAGGTGGTTTTGGACAAGGCGGTGGACACTTAGGTGG